ACTTTTCTTTGCTTTTACAATGGGAGATGAGATTAAATTACATTTTACAAAGAACATGTATTCGTTCGGTCTGTTCCATTTGTAAAATTGAATGCTCTATGTTATGTTTAATTGTTTAATCTTTTTACGTCAAATAGAATACGCTGTAATAAAAACAATCATTAACGACTGTCAGATACAAACTGTTGGCAGAGTCTGTTAAAATACTGTTTAATAGTTGTCTTGATATAGGAGTACGTCTGTATATGAAACGATATTGAACACAAAAGAAAGAATAGATGCAATAATTGTATTCTTGTGCAAATAGTATGCCAGTTTGTTTACAAACACAACAAAAGTCTGTATCAGAATATCTTGATTATTGAGCGTTATTTTCTTTGTCTAGATGTTTAGTCTAACGCATAATTACCTATTTTGTTAAAATTGACATTTTTGATAATGGCAATAATAACGTTTTGATAATCATGCGTGGAAGCAAGTGAATAAAACTATATTTGTTTACTAAAATTATCTCGCAATGCATATGCAATATATTGAAAAAACACTGTTATATAGTGTTCAGTCAAATATAAATAGATATTTCAATCGTCTGCACAAACACTACAATGATCTTTAATGACATACGGCAAAGTGTTAATGCACAAATAAACAAATGTGTGCAAAAAATGGCAAATTCACGGTGTACACTCCAGTGTCCGCTATAATTTTCGCTTGCGAGTGCGTTATACACGACAATCCGCGGATTTCGATTGAGTAATCCGTAAAGATATTATATTATTTTACTCGTTCAGTGCAAAAACAGTTTTAGCAGCATTTAACAACTTTACATGTATACGTTAGTTTTATAAGCATAGATGGTAGGGTCTACTAGCAGGACTTTATTAAGAAGGGGTTTGATTTTTTTGAGTTGACATTAACTATTCAAAGTATTATTTCAATATTCCGACTTTTTTTTACAAGTGTCTATATTGCTTAAATTAATATTCTTTATTCAATTCTACTACTGTAGATACTTATTTGATACTCATTATTTTCAAATAAGATACGAAAAAACATATAAACAAACGAAAGCAAACGAATTAAATCGACGAACGAATGGGCAAGGGAATGAGTGGATATTTGTATTTCTTGAACAAAAGAATACAGCAACGAAACTTGAAAGTTAGTGGGAGGGGAGGGGAGGGGGTTGATAAATGTCATTTAGATGTTGCCATGTTAATCAGACACCATCGCAAGGAAAAAAATTATTCAAATTAAGCAAGCAAGTTGAATTATAACTCAAACTACAATGATATGAATAATATAAACATTCTATTAACAATTATTTTACTACTATATTTTGTAAGCACTCTCCGTTGCCATTGATGTGCGAACGCCCTTGTTCAGCCAGAATGCGAACATGCGACTATGCATTTAAGCGGAAAAGCGAAAACAGTATGTTTAAGTTAGTGCATCTGCTTGCATTTTTATTCGAGTCCAAAAAAAAAAAAAAACATACGACAGATGTAATCCAAAAATCAAATTTATTTGGTGAGAAAAAATGACATGGTGTTAATATGACGTCTGAAAACCAGCGATCTAAACCTTTGTCTTTCATATTTACAATAACCTTTCAGAATATCAGAAGCTAAAAACAGTTTATAATCATTGTACAATTGTTATTATATGGGAGTTTCAATCTGAAAAGTCTATTTCACAATAAGTTCAAATGTATTTTTAGTATAATAAGACTGTTATAGTTTGTTATCCCCTGAAAATGGTATCCTCGTGGGGATATTGTTTGGCATTGTCCATCCGTCTGTCCTTATTTCCGTCTGTCCGTATTCGTTTTCGCAATAGTTTTTGGCAACTACTGACTGGATTTAATTGAAATTTTGGTGAAACATTCGATATTATCAGGAGATGCGTATGTCATTTGCCTGTCCTGGTCGAACGATTCAATATTTAGTTATGGTCCCTGATTAGTTATGCAGTATGAAAACACGATAATCTTTGTTTCTGAGCTATTTCTTAGGACTCGTTAACTGGATTTCAACAACATTTTATAAAAAAAAAACCCATCAATACCAAAAGGAGATGCGTTAGTTATCATTGGCGTGTCCTGGTTGGAAAATTCAATGAAGTTAAGATCACTGATTGATTAGTTATGACGTATGTAACCAGAATAACATTCGTTTCCGCCCTATTTCTAATTTTTTGATTGCCTGCTTTCAATAAAACTTTATTGGAACCATGAATACTAAGAGGGATATGCGCATGTCATTGTTATGTCCCGGTCAGACAAGTTGTAACAAACAGGTCTATTTATTGGTCTATTTATTGTTTTTCTTTCTTGAATTTTGCTACATTTGCTGTAATTATTTGCTATCAATAAACGGATTGTATTTGAATTGTTATTAAAATTGGCTATTACTTTGTCATTTAATTGTAGATTTCATCCACACTTGCTTATAAAACAGACATGTTGAATACTTCAAATATGACTTTGACTTTTAATTGACATTGACTTCCAAGGTCAAATAATTTTCTTATTTGCTTTAAATTAAATAACCTTGTTATGTTCTGATGGATTTGATCCATAGTTGCACAAAAACATTAATATCTTACAATAACCATTGCCAAATAATGGTGAGTGTATATCAAAATTATGGTCATTACTTGGATAAAAATAAGGTGAGCATAATTATACATGTTTTATTGCACTTGAATCATGTCGTTGTAATTGTCAGTTAAACACTTAAACTAAATGACGTTTCACAATTTTCTGTTAGAACTACTTTATTACGAATTTTTATTTTGTTTTTTTTGTTTAGCTCGACTATTCAAAAAAGGGGAGCTATTGTACTCTCTCCCGGTGGCAGTGCCGGATAAGCTTTTGCATTCAAGATGGCATCACCAAAAATTCTAAAGCGAATTAAGGGAATAGGATGATACCTCGCCCACTTCCTTTAGAGCATGATTAAATGCTATAACTCAAACGTGAATAATTTGACGTATATTATGGTCCTTTTTAAACTTACAAGTTCTTGAGAATATATTGTTTGTAACATCAATCATAAAAAATACTGAAGGCTTCACTTGAAACATAAGAAAAGTCTTTTGAGTAATTATTTGAGGTCACTTTCCGAGGCTCATAACTCTGCAACTGATTTTTAACGACATAATGACACTTTTTTGACTTTCTTAATCCATGTTTTGCATGCAACATCGGTCTTAAAAAACTACTGAACGTATTCACAAAAAACTTTTTCTTCTATTTTGCGTCCTTTATCTAAGGTCTATGACTCTTAAATGGATTTTGATTAAATCATTGCCCTTCTTGACTTAGAAAATGTTAAAATTATTAAAAATCCATACCAAATCCGGGTTTTTTTAGTGACCTCTGGTAATGATCGCAACGACATGTATTAAATATCCTTTAACTCATTTTTTTATGGTTTAACATAATAAATATAATGCTCAAATATAGATTTATCAATACTGTAATTTCCAAAAAGCAGTATTTGTAAAGATATAACTGAATTAACATTTCATGTTAATAAAGAGAGAGAATAAGAAATTTATTTTCTATAAAGTCTAAGTCAAAGTTTTCAATAAAAATGAATGCATATATTTTAATGATTACATATAATGTGACAAACATTTGCAGTACATATTTAACATATTATTTGATATCTGAAAAATGTTTTAGAAGCATAATTATATACATATATAAAGTCACTAAGTTTGATTATAACATCAGATATACGTACAGGATCTTTAAGTTTCAACACGCAGTCACAACTTTAACCCACAGTTATATATACATGTAAAAAAAACTAATTTTAGAAAAGAACAAATATATCTAAATTTATTGCATTAATGAATTCATTATGTTTTGCACGTTGCGTTTAATAGGGGACATCTAGATTTATTCTAAGAAGAATGCATTATAGATAAAAAAAATACAAACTTTATATCTGAACATTTGGCAATTAAAATTCTCTTCTATCAATGTATCTGAGGTGAGCACGAATTTTCTAGTAACTAGTTAGTGAGAATATGCTCTCTTTCATGTATTTTAGACAAAAACCTGTCTCTAAAACAGCGCAACCATGGTGAAAGAAGACGAAAACTTCTTAAGAGCTTCCTTATTGCTGCTCAAAGGGGGTACATTGGTGTCAAAAGAAACACTGAAGATAGAAGTGAATAAGTCTGGCAAAATCATTGACGATCTTCTTAAACCGTTCAAAAAGAAACTCTACCATAAAACTGTGAAAAGGCAAAGAGAAAAGTTGTTTCCTCAAAGTGGCGATAGAACTAATATTGAAGGATGGGACATAGCCATGCTTATCACTGTTCTACTTACAGTCTTCAAAAACTCACTTGATGAGGACCAGAAAGATCATTTAAAGACAATAAAGACCATAAGAGATGAAGTTTATGCTCATAACCCATCCTCAGCGCTAAGTAACGATGATTACGATGATATACGCGGGCAGTTAGAGAAAGCTTATATGTTTTTGTCACATTCGATAGACGATAACAAGAAAGATAAATGTAAAGACATTATACAGAAATGCACAGTAGATCCGATCAATCCAGAAGAACTAACGAAACAGTTAGAAAACCAAGAGGACCTTTTCCAAGTATTGATTGACATGATGAAAGGACATGATAACAAATTCGAAGAGAATAAACGACTTCTCAAGGGTAGCACCCTTTTCTAATGCTTTATTTCGATTTTCGTTTTAAATTTCAACTTCAACCCCAACGTTATTATTATTATTATTATTACAAAAATAATAATAAAATAAATAAAACAAATACACAATATTTTTATCATATCATTTATAATTTAATTGAATGTTTTTTTAAGTATGAAATAAGTAATAACTTTTAATGAGACATATGTCAGTTATTTTGATGAGTCTTTTGTAATTATCATATAAAAAGGACATTGCCCTTTGAAAATAAAGAAATTTTATATAATGTCATATGCCGTTATTATTTCAGAAATATTGGCTAGTATAACTAGTATGGGAAAGACGGAAGATAGAAGTACAAAAATCATAAAAGGTATGAGAAGATAATGATATCATAATACCGTAATACGTTGCAACTTGCACATTTGGAATAAAACGCTAAAATAACAATATTCGTAAATAGATATACATGTATCTGGTCGTCCATATCTGTCTTGACAGACCTGTTTCTATTCTTAATTCTGTTTGGAAGGGAAGTTAAGAACAATCAGAATTGAATATTGATACTACGATTGTTTATTCGCATGTCGTTTTATCTCATAGTGTTTGATGACACAAAAAGGGTGACACTTCTCAAAATCGTTTAAAGATATGTATATATTAAAAAAATATCGTGAGAGAGCATTCTTGAACTACACGTATTTATACAAATGTTTTCTACATGATGTAAGTACTGTATGCGTAATGTTCATACATAATGTTTTCAGTGATAGATACAGAGTTAACTTTAAGTGGAGCTATAAATGAAAAAGACGGCATAGATTTAGCTGAGTCTATAGTCACAACAGTTTACAATAAAGCAGTAAAAAAGGCAGGAGGAGATACAGATGATTATCCAAAGATTCGAAAAGTTGTTGAAAAGATGCTTGAAGACATTGGTAACTTTCCTGACGTGGAAGTCCTTCCAGCTGAGCATAAATGCATCATATTGAAGTTCAAATGTAGTTCTTATGCCGCTTTACACAGTATCCTGATCTATTTGGACAGCGGTGCCTTTAGGTGTATCCTCACGGAGCTTGCCGTCTCTCTAAATACAATTGAACAAATAAAGAGCGAATCAATTACAATTGGTGCGGATTTGACTTTAGAATGCTTGAAAGACATCTTAGATACACTATGTAAGTCTGTTCTAAGTTCTGTAAGTTGAATGTTTATTTACTGTTTGACTAAAACTATTTTTTAATTTATTGATTGCACTTTTACCTAATCCCCCGTCGAAAAAATCGGCGGGGGGATACTAAAATATACTGGCCCTTTGGGCCAACATCCAATGCTGTATAAGCTTAATTACGTGACTTTAGAATGCTTGAAACACTACGTATGTCTATACGGTATAATGTTTATTGACTGTTTTACTTCATTTTTTTTTACTTATACGTTGTACTTTTACTGAATCCCCCGGCAAAATTAAAAATATCAAAATTATTTATTCATCAGTTATCTGGTGATCAAAAATGTGTTTAGATATTTTATGTAAAGAAAATAATTAATATCGGGACCACATTACAAAAAAGCGAAAACTGACTTAGAAGAAAAAAACAAAATACCAGCCAAAAGGCGGAAACGTAAACAAAGATAATAATTGGATAAGGAAAACGGACCAACCTATCGGTAATACACTCACAATCAAATAATACCCCTGGCCTCAATCACAGTTATTGTCTACCACGCACTCTCCTCAAATAAATATTCGTACAAGCCCCTACCCAATTATTGGACAAATGTACATATGTAACTCATTCAACAATCGCCTATCCCGATATGCTTCATTAAATCAGTTCAGTGTGTATCTACTTGATCTTTGTAAAGCAATCACTTAGCAAATAGCGAACGATCGCGATCGTGTTAACTTTACATATCTCACGCATAATTTTTGAGGGTGAGGTAATTTAGTATAGTTTCAAATACTACATTGTATTGATAATATAAAACACATATTGTATTATAACAAGTCGTTACTATACACATATTAGCTGTAATAAAAAGTAGACTTATTTTTGAGATAGTGTACGTGTATCTGAATTCGCGGAAGGTCCATTTTGGGGTTCTATACAAATGTTTGCACTATTTTGATTTCGCGGGTATGACTTCCGAAAATCATAAATGCGCGTAGACCGCTCAGGTTAAAAACAATAAGGGAAATTACTCTTACAGGAATTTGGAATGGTGTAAAATACGGACGAATGCAGACGATGTTACTATCAAAATAAAGTTATTTTCAATACCTGGTGTCCATTATTACGCTATTGCATATACCAAAAAACCTGTCTGGCGGACAGATTATGGCAAACAAAAGAATGCCCGTTAACGTTCATGATTTTGTCACAGTGTTACAAAGTTTTACAATCAGTTTGCTTGCGTATTATTGTTTGACTGATACGATTATCGGATTTCTTGAATGTGTACATAGATGTTTGTACAGCACCATTGCATCAAGCTAATTGTTTCATAGTTTGCGTCATAAACGTCTTGACATCTAATCTGATCAGGTTGTTTTTTAAAAACAGACAATATAAACAACAAAAACATAAACGATTTTATCAATGAAAAACTTGGAAAACAAAACACAATTACACAGTAAACATTTTAATAAAGCCGTATGTATTGAAAGCATATAACACATTGATGTACATTGTTCTATAGAAGCCCGAAAATATGACTAATAAGCAATTATTGGTTTAGACATTTTCGCGCTAAACATGAACTCGCGGATCGAATGTCAAGGTGAAGATTGCGTAAATTTGAGGCCCGCGAATATTTCTACACATACAGTATGTATATCCAAGGATTGTACTCCCTTGAAAGTGATTTACGTTCGGAAATTAATGGAAAAAATAGTGTTGATCATCTCACTTCTTTTTTTTTTTACTTCGTTTTCGTGTGAGCATGAGGATAAGCATTGCAAGAAGGCTTAGTCTGTAGAAAGTGAAGTATATTTTAGCAATAATAACAAAAAAAAAAAAGAAATTGTTTAATTATTTATGGTAACACATTTCGGATGTGTATATTGATCTGGTTTCCAAATATAATTATGCCCACACACTTCAAAGAAGAGGGGGTATATTGTTTTGCTAATGTCGGTATGTCGGTCTGTTTGTCTGTCGGTCTGTCCGTCGGTAGACCACATGGTTTCCACGGATTATCTTGAAAACTGTTCATCACAAAATCTTCATATTTCACATAATGATTGGTTATAACTAGTAGATGACCCCTATTGATTTTTGTGTCACTAGGTCAAAGCTCAAGGTCAGCGGGCCTTAAACGTCAAAATGGTTTTCCGAGAGCTATAATAGATCATGGTAATCCTCTCTTTTAACAAAAGCAAAATGTTCATATAATACATGGCTTATTATAATTTCGGGGTCATTGGGTCAAAGGTCAAGGTCACAGGGGCCTTAAATGTCAGAATGGTTTCCGGTCATTATCTTGGTTACAATTCATCGCAAAGTCTTGATATTTCAAATCTTGATTGGTCATAACTAGTAGATGACCCCTATTGATTTTTTGATCACTAGGTCAAAGGCCAAGGTAACAGGGGCTTGAATTAAAATATGATGTCTGCTTATTAACTTGATTACTATTTATCACAAAGTTGTCAAATTTCACATAGTGATTGGTCATACCTAGCAGATGACCCCTACAATAGTTACAATTTATCACAAAGTCTTGATATTTCACATATTGATTGGTCATAACTTGTGAATGACCCCTATTGATATTGGGGTCACTAGGTTTCAAAGGTCAAGGTCACAAGGGCTCTTGAATGGTTATATGATTTCTGCTTATTATCTTGGTTACTATTTATTACAAAGTCTTCATATTTCACATATTGATTGGTGATAACTAGTAGATGACCCCAATTGATTTTAGGGCCACTATGTCAAAGGTCAATGTCACAGGGGCCTTAAATATCTGAATGGCTTCCGCTGATTATCTTGAAAAGAATTAATTACAAAGTCTACATATTTCACATATTGATAAGTCATAAGTAGTAGATGACCCCTATTGACTTTTGGGTCACTAGTGTAAAGGTCAAGGTCGCAGGGGCCTTAAATGTCAGAATGGTTTTCGCTCATTATCTTGGTTACGATTCATCACAAAGTCTTCACATTTGATATATTGATTGGTCATACTTTGAAGATGACCCCTATTGATTTTGGGGTCACCAGGCCAAAAGTCAAAGTCACAGGGTCTTTGAATGGTAGTGTGATTTCAGCTCATTATCTTGAAAGATAATTATCACAAAGTCTTCATATTTCACATAGTGATCGGTCATAACCAACAGATGACCCATATTGCTGTCACTAGATCAAAGGTCAAGGTCACAGGGGCCTTAACTGTCAGAATTGTTTCCGCTTATTATCTTAAAAACTTTTTATGACAAAGTCTTCATATTTCACACAACCATTGGTCATAACTAGTAAGTGAACTCTATTGATTTGGGGTCACTAGGTCAAAGGTCAAGGTCGCAGGGTTCTTGAATGTTAGTATGGTTTCCGCTCATTATTTTGAAAGCTATTTATCACAAAGTCTTCATATTTCTAATATTGATTGGTCAACTATTAGATGACCCATATTTATTTTGGGTCACTAGTTCAAAGGTCTAGGTCACAGGGGCCTTAAATGTCTTATTGTCCTGAAAACTATTTATCACAAAGTCTTCATTATTTTTTTTTCCACAATTGAATACTTCCATGTACCCAATTATGGCAAGTTTCTTTAACAAAATTACCAATAATGTGAGTCAAGGGCTAGAAAGTGTGGGTGGGGGGCATATGTGTAGTTCGACATTTCTTGTTTTTTTTAGTTTTCAGAAGATTACAAATATCACTTTAGAAAAAAAAACTTTCAATAACTCTCGGTTTATTGAAGGAGGAAATCACCAAGGAGTTAGTGGACAACACATTTTAATCAGTGATTTTAAAGATCATTTTTGCAATTAAATATCGAAGATTTTATCAATGATTTATGTGAGGGAATATATAAGAGTTGTGCATTAGAGCCGCTAGATAAATGTATGGAAATGAGGGAAGCATTTAAAATATCAAGAAGCTAGGATAAAACAAAACGTCTTCATTAGAAAATATCCTCTAACAATACTGTATCTGTCTCGCAGATAATAACCCCATTAAGTTTATTCTTTAAAAGAAGAAATTCACCCAATCATGGGCGACAGGGGGTTATTATTACCTTGTTTAAGAAGGGCAATAGTTCAGACAATTATTCATGGATCACACTTACTATCCGTTTTTCTAAATTGTAAACTCGTATTAAATGAAAGACTTAAGGCATGAGCTGCAGATAATAGTTTCTTGCGATTTGGTTTAAAAATTAATACAGCCTTTATCTGAATATTCAATGATAAAAATTGATCATATTAAGAAACTGTTCTGTTGGTAAGGTGGATTATAGGAAAGCGTATGACTTCATTGACAGGACAAGGTTATTTATCAACTTATACAATTTGTAAAGATGACAAGTTCCTGTCACAAATAAGGCCAATGCATAGTGAGGTGAAATTGTGAGTGAAACACCTAGGTACATTATCTAATGTTTTTAACAGCAAGACATTTAGTAGCAGGCATATGAAATAGTTTGGAAGTTATGATGCTTTGGTAAAATATGGCAAACCCCAATGTGACCGTATCACTGAAATTGTGACCTTTTCTAACAATGCATTTCAGTGAACGATATAGATTTATCATTGTCCTCTTGTTTGTTTACTTGTTTTTTTGCAAATTGTTTGTATTCAATATTTTTGTAGGTTATGTATATATCGCAGTTAGCATTTACAAAAAGTCAGAGTTACTGTGATTAAGATCATGTTCTTCCCTTGTGTTATTTGAGTAAATGAATTTGATGATTTGTACCAAATTTGCATATTTCCACTGCACTTTAGTCCTGGAAATTGCAGTTTGCTTTTGGGGTCACTAGGTTAATGTGTCATTTTCTTTTTATGTCAAAACGGATTCCAACCAGTAACTCAACAACAAAGGTAGATTGGCTTTGGCCAGTATATGACCCCTATTGATATAAGGGACAAGGGGTCAGTGGTAAAAGTCACATTTGACCTTGTATGTCTAAACGGTTGACGACAAATAACTCGATCACCAGTAGGCCATCAGCTCGTAAACTAAAGGTCTATTGGTTAAGGCCAGTGAATAGCCCATATTGAATTTGGGGTTAATGTTTCAAATGTCCACGTACCTAAAAACGATTCCCAACCAATTATTCAAAAACCCGTATGTAAAACAGTTTCCAATAAATAAGTTGGGCCATCCAACTTCGCAGGTGCATCGGTATTATTGAATTCGGGGTCAAGGGGTCAAAGGTCAAGGTAACATTGACCTTGTATGTTAAAAATGTTTCGGACCAAAATTTCAATAACCCATAGACTCTTGGTCAGACATACAATGTATGTAAACTGTTCCCGCCAATAAATGGACAATCCATGTGCACGTCATAGGTGCATTGGTCATGGCCAGGGAATGACCTCAACAGATTATGGGATCAATTGATTAAAGATCAAGCTGACATTCACCTTATATGTAAAACTACCAACAACCAACAGGCCATTTAACCCGCATTGGTATATTACTTTGGGCTTCGTCAGTACCCAATCCCTACTGCTTTTGGCTTAAGGGGTCGAAGGTCAAGGTCACATTGACCTTATATATAAAAACGCTATCCGACCAATGACCTGTTAACCTATGGGCCTTGGTCCTCCAGCTTCTGCATTAGTCTCTGTCAATAAATTACCTCTTCTATTGATTAGTAAGGCAAAATGAACAAAGGCCAAGTCACATTTATCTTGTATGTGAAAATGGTTTCCAACGAATTACTCGGTAACTCATGGATCACCCTAAGTCTTCATATGTGCATAGGGTTTGACCAGTGTCTGACCCCTATTTATTTTCAGGTCAAGAGTCAAAGTTTAAGGTCTCATTGACCTTGTATGTTAAACGGTTTCCAATCATTAACAACCGATATGCCCTCACACATCCGATGAGCATTGGTCTTGGCCAGTGATTGACTCCTTTTGACTTGTGTGTCCATCGGTCAAAGGTCAAGATACCAATTGACCTTGTTCTTTTTAATTTTTCCTGTAAATATCTCGATAACGCGCGTGTCCCCAAATTTTGCATGTGCATTGGTTACGGTTTCCGACCAATAATTTAGCAACTCATGGGCCTTTACACGTGCTTAAGTTTTTAGATGAAACCTTATTAATTATGGGATCAAGAGGTCAAAAGTTATGGTCACATTGACGTTGTATGCGAAAACAGTTTCCAACAAATAACTGGATACCGATGAGCCCTTAGCCACCAACCTTCACAGGTATATTGGTATTTGCCAGTAGATAAGCACAATTGATTTCTGGGTCAAGGTGTCAAAAATCGAAGACAAATTCAACTTGAATGTTGAATCCGTTTCCATCTTAAAAACGACACTTCATAGATGCATTTGTATTCGTAAGGAAATGAGCCGAAACAATTTTGGGATGAAAAGGTCAAATGTCAAGGTCACATTGCTGTTTAATGTTAAAACATGTTTCGGGAAAGTACCCGAACCAAAACCTTGACAACGCATAACATCTTAGCCCTCATACTTGATGAATGATACCTATTAATTTTGGTGCCAATGTGTCAAAGGGCAAGGTCCCCTTGACCATGTGTGTCAAAATGGTCCGAAAAAAAGCCCTCTGGGTCTTTGCTGCTCAAAGATTACTGTTGCATTTGTTTTTGGCAGTAGAAAATTCCTTTTGACCAATACCAAAACGGTTTCAAAGCAACATTGTATACAATTTTCGACATGTTGACTAAGGGGCGGGTCTTACATTTTTCACAAACATCTCATGTAGGTATGGAGTAAAATACTTTACCTGATATCAAAAACCCTGTTGTTAAATCTATATAAATTATCAAAAATGATCCCGATCGCCAATTCTTAAACATAAGTTTGCTAATAAGATTAGGCAATTTGTTTTATTTGTATCTCAAATTTTCTCCAAAATGTTTCAAGCATGAAGCAATTTTATTGACCAAATCCACATATTTCTTTCAAATGACAAGTTTCTTCTACATTTAAAATCTCTAGATATTTTGAAAAGTGCGTAGAAGTCAAATGCACTCTTTTTCTATGTAAGCTTATAAGTTGTGTATTTGTATTGTATCTCAAACTTATTGTATAATATTTCTAAAAAGTAATATATCTCGTTAAGTAAAATGCCAGAGTAATTTGGCGCATGTCTTCGGATGACGGAACTTCCACATCAGGTGAGATAGTTTGGCAAAAGAAATAAAGTGGAAAAGATAAAAAAACAATTTATTTTTTGACATCCATTATCATGGTAGGCGTATGAGTGTTGTCATGAATCTATGAATATAAATGACATCACATCAAATATGTGTTGCTTTACAATCTTAGCAGTAAATGTTTAAAGACAATGAAAATTATGCTACATGAATGGAATGGAATTTCTTAAAAGTCAAATAAATTAACGTTGAAGTACAATCATCACCATTAACTATTTTAGGCTCTGACGCATCAGATGAAAACGTTTATAAAAGAACGATTAGAATGCCTATAGAGGTTAAAACTACAGATGGAATGAAGCGGTTATGGTCAATGTTTGAAGATGGCGGGGCTACAAACAGATTAAATGAACTCTCAGAAGCCGTTTTTGATGAATTAAACACAAAAATTACAGTGACACCATCAATCGGATTGAGTGGGGTTCAAGATGCAATAAGACAATCAGGTACAATTCTTGATATTTTATGAAATGAACAAATGTTACTCATTGTGTCATAGACCTGACCAACATAAAACTCAGGCTGTCTGGGTAATGAGTTTACATTCTTAAGCTTGCTTATTTAGCTCACCTATGCTAGCTCATGGTGAGCGTTTATGATCGTTGAATGTTCTGCGTAAGTCGTTTATCATCGGTCACAATTTGTTTCGTAAACAATCTAGTGGTAATAATTTTTGCTTCATTTGTCACCATACTTAGTCAGGACTTTTTGTCCTATTAATAGCTCAGCAGAGTTTGAACATGGGTCATTTCGGATGAAAAATTAGGTCACAGTAGCCAATAAACATTTTTGGTAACACCTTTTTGTCTAAATATCTTCGAATGCGGTCAGAAAAAAGATTGTTTAGATGTTTGCTAGCTCTTGTTTACTATTTAGAAGAAAATTCAAGGATGCTAATTAATTGTTAGAAAAGTCGCTTTGATCGAATATGTGTCACTTGGGATCAAAACTAGGTAGCACTTACGAAATATAGAAAACCTTTTTTAAATTAATAGTCAAGAGGTAGTATTTTCAGCCCAAACATTTTCATCATAAGTTTCCTTGAAATTGTTCAGAAAAATTAATTGCATAATTTCTAGTTCAAGTTCGAATATAAGTCATCTGGGGTCGAAAATTATATCACTCAGCCAATTTTTTCCAAACCTTTATTTACATTCTTTGGGTAAGATTTACAAATAAAATATCAAGTAAATATGTCAGAATGGTTGAATGAATTTCTGTATCGGTAACAAATTATATTACAGTGTATGGTATTTGTTTCATAACTCATGCTGTAGAAGAAGATATGTTCAGTAAGGCAACTGGAAAGGCTATTTTTAAACTTTACAAAAGATAATTTTAAATCAGCATATTCAATTAGCGTTTGCGCTGCTGATACTGGTGCAAATTTTTAATATTTGCTATTTCACATAATTCAATTAGGTAAATTTTTATAATTGAAATAAAATAAGAATATATTAGTCATGAGTTTTATCCTATTAATTTGCTGAGTGGAGTTCAAACATGGGCCAGTGCTGATGAAAAACTAGGTTACGATAGGCAATAAACACATTTGGTAACACCCTATAGTCTGTCCCATTAAAAATGGAAATGAACTTTTGCCTGGTATGAATTAAAAAAACGACATTGAATAGAAAATAAAACTTTTTTGTAAACTAAAAAGAAGTCATCCTAAAGATTTTTCAGGATTTTACTCTAAAGTGACTACTTTTCTTGTGAAAGCAAATTTTTATTTCTCTATGGTAAATCTCTGTTGTTTATTTTCCGTAGCCATTGCCGAAGTACTCTTCATTTAACGATGAACGGGAGAAAGCACGTGTCATGTTTCTAAAATATACATGCGGTTCTCGGGGTCGTTTCATGATTATTTTAAATAGCTGGATCTACAAGATGTAACAGTTTAGTTGCAATGCATGATGGAAAACTTTAAAAAATGAAAAATAAGCAACAAGAACACCGATTCACATGGAGTAGATCTAGAAATTGCACTTACTTTTAAGCTGAATAGAATCCCTATGAACTTTATAAACGTCACGGCAAATTCGCATTCTGAAGATTCCTTCATTGCCAGTTTCTATCCAGTTCCGTAGATCCCACTTTTTTACTTAAAAAATCCTGAATGACATGAGTCATGACCCCTACACTTTTGATGATCCAGATTTTTTAAACTGACAATCCGTCTCATTATTAAAACATTGTTCAATTTATGGAGTTATCTGGGTTAGCAAATGAAAAATGTAAATGAAACACATCATAATTCAGCATGTTCCAAACATAGGTGTTCGGCGCGTTGATTGGTCACTATCCCCGGGCCAACCCCCCCCCCCTCACCCACTCTACAACCCTCCTACCTCTCAAAACCATGTAATCTGCAGTATTTTTCATTTTAAACATGTTTTAATATTTGGTATATGCTTTTAATTCAATTACCTGCATCTCCCACAAAAAATAAAAAAATGATATCTATATATTTAGTAAAGGTATGCAACTCGCCGCTCATTTTTCAGCACTCATTTTAATATGAACTCCATAACTCCAACATTTTTTCATCAATTTTCAATATCTTGGTACCAAATGGTAGGGAATTGATTACTTTTAAAGGAATTTAAGCTGTCATTACAATCATTTCAAGTTTTAAGAAGATATGTAATATCGAAGTCACCGCAAGTGTAACTCGACAGAGACCTGACCGCTGGGTTTTTGTCAAAATTACCCGACTAAACGGCAGTTTATTCGAAATAAATGAATATTTTTTTGTATTGCGCATATAAATATGATCAAATTATATTATTATTTGTAATAACTGTCCAAAAAGTCTGAAAAGTTGCTTCCATGATTTCTAGGTCAAAATCGAATATTGGCCACTTTAGATCAAAAACTAGATCTAACCAAATATGGAAAAATCTTGTTAACACTCAAAAGGGCATATTTTCAGCCAATATATCTTAGAGATTTTGCATAAAGATTGTTTAGATGTTTTCTAGCCCTTGTTCACTATTTAGTAGAAAGATTTTCAGATCAAATATCCTGAACTTTTTTTAGAAATGTTACTCCATTATTTCTAGATCAAGATCGAATGTTGACCACTTGGGATTAAAAACTAGGTCACATTAATCAATCATGTTAAAACATTGTTTACACTCAAGAGCCTAAATATCCAGAAAATTGTTCAGATTATTCCTAGCTGAAAATGGAAAATGGTTCATCATAGATCACACCGCCGAAATATGAAGAAAACCTTGTCAACACCCTTGATTTAAAATTTTCAGCCCAAATATCTGGGAAATGTGTAAGAAAGTTGTTGCAATGATATTTTAGCTCACGTTCGAACATGCGTCACCTAGGGTCAAACAAACCTAATATTGAAAACTATTCTTAACACCTAAGAGGCAATATTTCTGGTTAAGTTTCTTTGAAGTTGTTCAAAAAGGTTGATTGCATGATTTCTAGCTTAAGTTTGAATGAATATCATATTGGGTAAAAAACTACGTCACTCAGGCAATTTATTGAACAAATTTGTTGACTCTATTAAGGTAAGATTTTTAGACAAAATATCCTGGAAATATGTCAGAATGGTCGATGCAATGATTTCAAGCTTTTTTTGGTTATTTTAGATAATTATTTTGGGTAATAAACAGGGTCAGACATCCAAAACATGGAATAATATTCTTAAAACCCTAGAGATTACATTTACAGTAGAAATATCATGTAATGAATCAGAAATTTTGCGTCTATGATTTCTAGGTCAAGTTCGATTATGGGTCATCTGGGGTCAAATACTACGTAACACAATCCAAATTATTGAAAACACTTAGATAACACTCTAGAGGCAATATTGTCAGCTGAAATACCCTAAACATTGGTCAGAAAGGTTGTTATGAACTTTAAATATTGGTCATTTAGGGTTACAAAACTAGGACAATATAATAGAAAAATCTTGTAAACACTATAAATGTAGTATTTTCAATCTAATTTCCCGGCAATTTTTCAGCAACGTTGTTTAATTGATTGTTATATCAGGTTTGAAAGTTGGTCATCTTGGGCCAAAAGCCAGGTCGCTTAGCCTCAATAAGGAAATGCCGTGTTTACATTTGCACTAGTTCAGGTTCAAATATGAACGTTATGATAGCAGTTTAATAGTTCTACCATATATATGATTTTAATTCATATCTAATTTTTTCAATTGTTACTTGTAATTTAGAGCTTTAATAATCAAGTGAGAGATATATCATGACCCATCTTTTCCCCCATTTATTTATGTGGACTTAACGTTTTACATCATACCAACAGCCGAAACAGTTTCAATTTAGATCAATAAAATATCAATAACAACTCATTAGGTTTCATATAATTTGACAAAAATCATTTCAGACGAACATTTAAAACGATTAACGAATGTTTCGGCCGTTAAAGTGGAACATGTCATTCCAGTTGCTGAAGAGGACAGATATCAAGAAAAAGGTGTGAATGATTTTCTGTATCGATTAAGTAAAATTATATTACAGTGTATGGTGCTTTTATGACTTACGATACATAAAATATCAAACATTTTGCTTCTATGATTTCTCGGTCAAGTTCGATTATGGGTAATCCTGGGTCACATACTAACGTCACGCAACCCAAGTTATGGAAACACTTAGATAACACTCTAGAGGCAATATTGTTAGCTCCAATACCCTAAATATTGTTAAAAAAGGTTGGCCATTTAGTGTTAAAATCTAGGACCATATATTGGAAAACCTTGTTAATAATATAAATGTAGTATTTTCAGACAAATTTCCTGGATTATTTTACAGCAAGGTTGTTTTGTTGATTGTTATATTAGGTTTGAATATGGGTCATCTTGGGCCAAAAGCCAGGTCGCTTAGCCTTAATAAGGAAATGCCGTGTTTACATTTGCACTAGTTCAGATTAAAATATGAACGTTATGATATCAGTTTCATATTTCCACAAAGTGCTTTTTATTCATATCTAATTATATAAACTGTTCCTTGTCATTAAGAGCTTTAATAATCAAGTGAGAGATATATCGTGACCCTCTCTTTTCCCCCATGCATTTAAGTGGACTAAACAAATCGCAACATACCAACCACCGGAAAAGTTTCCATTTAGATCAATGACACATTAAAAAAAACAGATAGAATGTAATATAAATTTTTCAGAATTCATTTCAGATGAACATTTAAAACGATTAATGGATGTTTCGGCCGTTAAAGTGGAGCATATCATTCCGGTTGGTGAAGAGAACAGATATCAAGAAAAAGGTATGAATGATTTTCTGTATTGATTAAGTAAAATCATTTTACAGTGTATGTTATTCGTTTAATGACACATGCTACATAAAACGTCAGACATTTTGCTCCTATGATTTCTAGGTCAAGTTCTATTATGGGTTATCTTGGGTCAAATTCTACATCGCATTTGAAAGGTTGTTATGAATTTTAAATGTTGGACATATAGGGTTACAAACTAGGACCATACATGGAAAACCTTGTTAACACGATAAATGTACTTATTTCTAGTCTAATTTCCTGGATCATTTTACAGCAAGGTTGTTTAATTGATTGTTATATCAGGTTTGAATATGGGTCATCTTGGGCCAAAAGCCAGGTCGCTTAGCCTTAATAAGGAAATGCCGTGTTTACATTTGCACTAGTTCAGATTAAAATATAAACGTTATGATATCAGTTTCATATTTCCACAATGTGCTTTTCATTCATATCTAATTATATAAACTGTTCCTTGTCATTAATTAAGAGCTTTAATAATCAAGTGAGAGACATATCGTGACCCTCTCTTTTCCCCCATGCATTTAAGTGGACTAAACAAATCGCAACATACCAACCACCGGAAAAGTTTCCATTTAGATCAATGACATATATTAAAAAAAACAGATAGAATGTTATATAAATTTCAGATTTCATTTCAGATGAACATTTAAAACGATTAATGGATGTTTCGGCCGTTAAAGTGGAGCATATCATTCCGGTTGGTGAAGAGAACAGATATCAAGAAAAAGGTATGAATGATTTTCTGTATTGATTAAGTAAAATCATTTTACAGTGTATGGTATTCGTTTAATGACACATGCTATATAAAATGTCAGACATTTTGCTCCTATGATTTCTAGGTCAAGTTTTATTATGGGTTATCTTGGGTCAAATTCTATATCGCATTTGAAAGGTTGTTATGAATTTTAAATGTTGGACATATAGGGTTACAAACTAGGACCATACATGGAAAACCTTGTTAACACGATAAATGTAGTATTTTCAGTCTAATATCCTGACGCAATAGTTCAGCAAGATTTTTTAATTGGTTGCTATAATGTGGATCATTTTGGGCCAAAAGCCAGGTAACTTAGTGCAAATAAGGAAATGCCGTGTTTACATTTGCACATTGTTTAATGACTTATGCTATAGAAGAGGATATGTTCAGAAGGCAATTGGAAAGGCGGTTTTTAAACAATTCAAAAGATAGTCTAAAATGAACATATTCTGAGTTGTAAATTTTCAGCATTTGCTAATTTACATATTCAATAAGGTATATTCCTGTTATAGAAATAAATTTAAAATATATTTATAAATGCTTTTGTTAGAGGACTAAATGCTATATTGACTATCATTATCAGATTAAAAAGTATTGGCTATTATAATTATAGTATCATCTTTACACTTTGATAGTTCCTAATTGATTTTGCTGTTTAAGAAGCAGATATTACAACCATGCCACAGGAAATGACTGAATATGAATCTAGCCATTCAAGAAAGCGCTTATTTGGCAGATACACTGATGAAGGTAAAATACTTAAGATATTATCTTTTGTAAGTTCGTTCCCATTTAAAATATATTATGTTTTGTAAAATCGTTATTAAAGAAGTAAAAAAAGAATAATAACTTTCAATTATTTTTATTATGTTGCACTTTTAATACTCAAACAGTTTGTTAAATTCTATTTATTTTGGG